CATAACGGGATCTGATGACAAGGAACATCTTGAAATCCTTGAACAAGTATTAAAGAGGTTAGACGAGTAGGGTCTCCCAGTAGATATAGAAATTTTAGAAAATTTATGGAGCCAAAAGTTTAATTTTGTGCGCATGAAATTGATGCGGATGGACTCCACAAGACAGATGCAAAAATTACTGAAATTGAAATCACCTGAAATTAAATTGAAAGATCTAGATTTTTTGTTAGTACGTTTATGCCAATTCCTTGAAAACTCTTAACGTTCTTCATCCTTTACCATTACTACAGAAAAATCACGTTGAATTGGCAAGTGATTGTGATAAAGCAGTTCAGACAGTCAAGGAAATGATCACGTCAGATCTTTTTTTGGTCAATTATGATCCAGACTTACCAGTTATTTCAGCTTGTGATGCGATTTCTTTCGGATTTGGGGCCGTACTTAATCATAGACTGCAGAATGGAACAAAACGACCAATTGTCTTTGCGTCTCGTAGTCTCTCATCTGCAGAGAGAAACTGTAGTCAAATAGATAAAGAGGGCTTATCGATAGTTTGGGGAATTTAGAAATTTCATCTATATGTAATTGGTCGAGAGTTTCTGTTGATTACGGATAATAAACCTCTCTTGTCGATTTTTGGTCCGAAGAAAGGCATTAGTTCTACTACAGCTGCTCGACTGCAACGATATGCCTTATTTCTCAGCGGATACCGTTTCCAAAAATCAAAGCATCACAGTAACTGTGATGGATTATTTAGAATGCCATTGGAGTATGTTGAAAGTCATCAGTTAGATGAAACTGACATATTTTACAGTCACCAGTTTGAATTACCTATTACAAGCAATCAAGTTGCTTTAGCAACACAAAGAGACTTAGTTCTGTCAAAAGTGTATGAACATGTAATTAAAGGAAATGAAAAGTGAAATGTCAAGAGTATATGAAACTTACAAAACTAGATTCAAAGAACTTTCTGTACACCAAGGTTGCCTAATGTGGGGTATATGATTAGTCATCCCACAAACATTAAGACAAGCTGTTCTTAATGAGGTACATGTTGGACATGTTGGTATAGTTAAAATGAAGTCCCTTGCTCGTAGCTATGTGTATTGGCCTGGAATAGACACTGATCTAGAGAGCATCGCACAGTTATGTTCTGGGTGCATGATGTCAAAGTCCAGTCCACCGGAAGCACCAATACACCCGTGGGAATATCATAGTAGACCATGGTCTCGAGTTCATGTTGATTTCGCAGGTCCATTTATGGGATACATGTTTTTTGTGTTAGTTGACGCTTATTCAAAGTGGCCAATAGTTAAATTATGCAAACAACAAGCACTTCGAAGACAATAGAGATTTTGCGATCAATAACTGCAGATTTTGGTATTTGCGCGACAACTGACCTCGTTTCATTAGTAATGAATTTCAGAAATTCTTAAGTCAGAATGGTATTAAACATATTAGGGGAGCACCATATCATCCAAAAACAAACGGATTGGCGGAGCGATTTGTGCAAACATTTAAACAAGCATTAAAAGCTTCAAAAATGACTCTGGAACTTTACAGACATAATTATCTACATTTTTAATGCAGTATAGAAATAGTGAGCATAGCGTAACAAAGAACTGATGTTTGGGCGTACACGTACTACTCGTTTCGACAAATTCAGACCAAGTTTACAAAATCGTGTTGAGAAAGCGTAATCGAAAATCGTAAGATCTACATCTGATAGACATTATTCAGTGGATGATACTGTTATGATACGTGATTATCGTGAAAAGTATGAGAAATGGATTCTAGAGGTAATTAAAACGCAAACTGGTCCGGTCTCATATAGAGTAGCGATTAGTCCTGGGGTAACATGGAAACGGCACACAGATCAGATTCGAGCAGCTGATGTTTATCCGTCAAGGTTACAATTACAAGATCCTGATTTGGTAGTTACTGAAAGACCATCTGAGATTCCGGCTGAAGTTATTGAGCAACCAACAAAGATACCAGTTGTTCCTAAAACGTCTGCAAATCTGCCTGTTCATGAGCTTCGACGTTCAAGTCGCACAATAAAGAAACCTGATAAGTTAAATTTGTGAATCAAATTAGTGTTAAAGGGGCATAAAAATCTCCTAAGTGTGAATTGTGTGCTAATTGAAGAATCATGTCAGCAGATATTTTTATTTTAATCAAGTTTAATAGTCATTAGAAAAAAATTGGTGTACACTTCGTAAAAGTTTTTGTTTTAAACGTTATTTTTCTTTTACTGCTGTACCTAATTTTGTGCTGTAATTGTTATAGAGTTCTGTTACTTGTACAAAGTTAAGCAAATGTGTTTATACAAATAATGTAGTGTTTATTTAGTTAGAACTATTTACCACTTACTTTCAGTTAATTAACAAGAGTGACATTTAAATAGTCTTAATATTGTGGAACAGTTTATTATCAAGAAAAAAATGATAACTGTTAAATAAGTATGGGGGTATATGTAAGGTATTGTAATTGATTTTAATTAGTGTTTTGTAACCTTATGTTGTTACCTAAAATATGGTGTCATGTGCCTTAATAATAAAACGACTACAACAACAACAACACACGTGTTTCTCAATTTAGAGTAAAACGAATGTTTCAATCCCCTTAGAACCTTATTGACCCCTGAATTCTACATACATGACATAATCCAGGAATAATAATAATCCGTTGTGTTCTCTAAGTGGGTCTTGAACCCTTTCCGCTTAAGTGAACTTACACTTAAGCAGAATATTATATTCTGACTTCCTAGTCTAAATCTTAAACTCTTCCAGCTAAACACATATCATTTTATTGATGAAGCTTCGCGCGTTTAAACGGCTGCAGAAATTCTCTCAACAACCTGAAATGGCGACTGTAAGTACAATTATGTTTCTTTGTCTTGTACTTGTAGCGGTTTAAAAATAAGTTTTTTATGTTGTCTTTAATAAACGAGATCTAGTATTTAAGATATATTTCAGGTATATCTTTTAAATTCACCACTGTAGCGCTTACAGCCAATCACAAATACATATATTTAATATTTGTAAGATAAACGAATAAAAATGAATTATTTCATATATACGCATGTATAATTATTATTTCCATATATTCGAAACAATTAATATAGTCTATACATGATATATAGATACATTTTCTATACCTTTAGAATGTAACTCTATGAAATATTAAATTATGAATATGGATTTTAAGTTAAAGCAGGTACGTATATTAATATACGTGCCTGATTAAAGTCAGATTACAGAGGTATCACGTAAATCAGGTGAATATTTTTGGAAAGTGTTCCACCGAAGTTGCATGGAAACCACAAAACCCCGATTTGGAAACCATTTTGAGGTAAATTTTTATATGTTGTTGGATGTCGTCTTTTTTTGATATTTTGTGTATATAAAATATATAAAAGTGTGTAGGAAATGGCAATTAGAAAAGCAATAAATCATTCATTACAAAACTTAACACAATTGATATTGTGATGTATTGCATGATAAAATACATTAAATGTCAATTCCTTGATACAATCTCCTCAATATTTTGTTTCACTATTTAACCCATTACTTCATGAGCATTTTGTGAAAAATGGCTGTTTTCATTGAAAAGTCTCCCGTTACAAGTTCAAATTGCTATAATACTATAAAAACTGCTTCAACACTAATCAAACTTGGCACAAATGTTGACTGGACCATTGCCCTTGCAACAACATGCTCAGGCTTAAATTTTCTGTTACCATGGCAACGAGGGGACATCTCAAAATTGCCAAAAATCGCTATTTTGCGTTGATTTTTTTCCATCAAAATTGATTTCAAAGTGCTGCAACTTCTCAATGGATTAAGATAGAGTCAAATGCTTTTCAGCGTTGGTTACACGTTACCTTATGATCAATCTGGGGTCATTTACAGCCTCTCACAAGTCCAAAATTTTTCTTGGCGATGAGGGGGACTCCGCCCCCCTTCAAACCCCCCCCCAAACAGAAGGGGGCACATCCCCCTTCTGGCAACCCCCTGATGTATCTTTTGGTTGGGGGGCCGCGCCGAAAAAGAGGTCACTTTTTTTAACAACATTTCTCAAACAAAAACAAGTGTTTGGGGCCTAAATAAGGCATTTTTTTATCATTTGAGACAACAAAAAGGGGGGGGGGGTGAAAAAGGCGTTAAAAGGCGTGTATATGAAGTAATGGGTTAAATATGAGTATTTCTTATAAATATGCATGTTTATCTCAGATACGTCAGAGGAGAACCCTTGTATTTGCAATTGTTGTCTTCATTTGCATTGCTCGTTCAGAGGTTCACAGCTACGAGAACAGCTGGGATGGACGCCTTGACTACCGTTGCTCAAGTCGATATGCAGTAAGTTGCGTAATTTTGATTGTAAAGGAGCATGCCTCCAGATAAAAGCTAATTTTTATGAAAATAAACTTACTTGGCTAGTCATACTGCATTTCAGTCATTTATCACACATTAAATGTAAAGCATTACTCAAATCTTGAATTATGTTTAACTTTTTTTTTCAAATCATAGTTCATTTTTCTTAAGTTTGTTTTTATTGAAAAAGTTAGCTCATCTGGAGGCATGCAGCTTTTAAGTTTCTCACCTTAACGTTCCTTGTTTTTGTAAATAATGATAAATGAATTGAGGCTATAGAATCAATACAATATAAAAATTTACGCAATTACATGGAGTTTCTGGTCATGGATGAAATTTACGATTTTCTATAGCCATTGTAGTTACTATTTAAGCTAAATTATCAATAAAAGCAATGCGTAAACTACATTCAAAATTAGTAACCACTTTTGTAATAAAACATCACTGGGGGATATAATTATGAGTTTTAATAAAAAGTAATTACTGATACATGAAGAACATGTGTCCAAAAGAGTTTGTCGGGCTAAATTCATCGTGGCTGGGATTAATTTGTCAAGCAGACAATTTTTGAGGGGAGTAAGGCATATTTTGGAGACTAGATTAACCATGTTCCAATACAGAAAAAATGCAATTAATAAGTTTATTCTTTTGTTAAAAATTAGGCTATCGATTACATATTCAGCTACCATCATGGTGGTTATGAGGACAGACGGTTTGATTTAAGATGTGCCACCGTTCCGTATGCGTATTCAGGGGGATCCAGAAGTTGTGATTCTACAGGTAAATTTAATAAATGTGTAGAATTAGGTACTAGCTGCTAAAAACAAGGTGGATTTCAGCAGCAAGAAGGAGCTTCATGACTTCTTCTATTTTTGCACAAGAGTGCCATGATTGATAATAACACTGTCGTGTTTATATACCATATGCTATGTTATATAATAGCGAAAGAATGGGGGCACGCGGCTGAATGGCGTTGTAAATGTCGTTGACTTCAAACCACTTTCCCCTGACCGCTTTTGGTCCGCATTCCGACAAGGACCTTGACTTCCTTCATGTGAAGAAGCTATTAAAAGAATTAACTTACGAAACGTCTTTGGCTCGACTTAAATGCCTGTTCGTGCCTGAAATAATACACGGAAGGACACCCGAGGCTTTTCTCCACCAATAAAGCTAGAACGTTGCCATATGACCTATACTTTCTTATTGCGACATATAATATGTAAAAGAATAAAGATATTGTAATGTGTTGAATGACTATCCATATAATATCGCGTTAGGAAATCACAGATTTCCGTTGCTTGTACTCTAAATACTTGTCTAACGTGAACTTTTTTAATAAAAAGATAAGTGTTGGTAATAAGTGCAGTGCACTTACATATCGGTGAGAAACAAAATGGTTTCATTTTTATTCTAAAGTAAAACACTTGTGCTGTGAAATAGGTCACTAAATAAACACTTGTTTCATTATATGCAAATGCGTGCATACATTTGGAGGACATTTTCTATTAAATTAAATTTATCAAATACTGAAGAAACACTATGCTCATCTTTTGGTAAAATACTTTTATTTTTGAAATTAATTAAAAATCTAGGAAATTGTTAATGAATATGTCTAAGAAGAATAAAAGAATGCATAAACTATGCTTTGGAAATTGCATTCCCTAATTCAGGTTATGTTAATTCAGCATTTTCTTAAAAAAAACAGCTGGCAGCTACTGAAACTTTAAAGGGCCTCCAATTAGTGTGATCATGATGTGTAAGACGACTGATTTTAATTCGATTTAATTAGACGTTTTAAAGAAGATTAAAAAGGGCGTTTATTTCGCCGAAACTTTTCCCGACATGCTTGAAGTTTTTGTCTAGGCGAAAAGATATATTTTCGTCTTTTGTAAAACATTTGTATTTTTGACAAAAAATCGCCTAGACAAAAAACTTCAAGTATTTTGAGAACAGTGACAAAGAATGACAAAAATGACCTAGTCTTTGTCCGACACCAAATGATCGCACTAAATGGAGGCCATGTACCGTTTTAACGTAGGTAGTTTATTAATGACACTAGGTATTTATACTGATCTTACCTATAATGTGTTGAAGTTTAAACGAAACATATCTCTTCAGTGCGGTTTTCCGTCAGAGTCTTTGCGACACACAAGTAACTTGTCCCAACGAAGAGACAAAAAGTCGAAATAAAGAAACAACGAAAGTAAAAACTTGATATAATATAGTGTTTCCACTCTCGTACTTTCGACCTTTCTCGATCGTAATTTCGTTGTTTGTCATTTCGATTTATTACCCATCGTATTTTTGACTTTTCACCATCGTGGTTTTGTCTTTTTACCATCGTGCATTCGTTTTCAGGATCGTGTTGTTGCCTTCCTGTTAAGCATGCGCACTGAATGTCAATCTTTATAAAGGTGTCACCGGTAGTCCGAAACAAATTCAGCTATCAGTATTAAGTATCGGCTGTCCGTCCGGCCGTACATCCATCCATTTATCTACGTTGTTGAATCCTACTGTCAGACTCGGTTAATGGCTATTAAGTGCTAATTAGCTGTTTGGTAAAATATCATATATTCCTTTTAAGGTAATACTGTAAAATGTTTCAAATTATGTTACAGGTTCCTGGAAAAATAACCTTGACGGGTTGCTTGATTTCCAATGTTCTGCAAATCGTTATATTGTCGGAATGATAAGTGAACATGATGACACGACAGAAGACAGAAGATGGAAATTTTATTGCTGCGGATTCTCAAGTAAACCTTGATACTAGCAAATTTAATGACTATATTCAAGCGTTAAATACAGCTTTTTATCGGCTTGTTCATTTATTTGTTTAATTATTATATTTCATTTTTTTACTTACTCTTTTGCGTGCATGTGGGTTGAGAATAAAGATCAACAACAAGGCAAGGCAATGTTCACAGACTGCAGTTCCCTATAAAACCCAGCCACAACAGTATGGCACCCAGAAGGCACCGATCTGAAAATTGAGACAAGACACAAGGGCGATAGAAGTAGGGAAGGGATATGTTATAAGTAAAATGATCAGAACCAATACAATACAATAAGAATTAAAGGGACAAGGGATGTAAGGGAAAAGCCCGACTTATTTAATATTAGGTGAACTCAGACTTTAATGTCAAATGTTAGTTTAATGTTTGAAAGTGTGAATATCTTTTGATTTTGGAAATTTTAGTTTACTCCAGTCAATTTTATACCTAAACAAAGCTTTTGATCTATTTTGTTATCATAACAGCCCAATTACTGAAGCCCGGGCGACATCATTATTTAACGTCATAATGCTGACGTAATACTTGTAGTTTTGAAAGATTGATTAGTTCTCAGTGGCTGTTAATGCAAGTTTTCCTTGCATTTTTATAAATAACACTTTCATAATGAATAATCATTTTTGTTAATTATGGGTCCGGAGTAAAACATATCATATATGAATTGGAAAATATGGCCCTCTCATAAATACTATGAACATGCAGAATGTCTTGTATTCTTTAATAAGTTACAAAGTCTAACCATGCTATTCAATTTCAGATATTATTCTTCACTCATGCGAGCTTACAGGCTGGACAAACTCTTTCGACGGAAATCAATACTTAAATGTTCCTTCGGGATATGTTATTACTGGAGTAATTTCAGAACATAGTAATTATTATGAGTAAGTTAAAATCTGCTTACGAAAAAAAAATCATTTGATATGTTTGACCAGTAAAACAAAATGAAATAAAGAAAGACTCTGTCAATATGTGAAATGAAAATTTAATGAAATTTTATTTAAACCATAAGAGTATTGTATGGTATGAAAAAATATTTGAATTTAATGTATTGAATAACAAACTCGTTGCTTAAAATATTAATGATTTAAAAACGCATACTTTTTGTATTTATAGGGACAGACGATACAAGTACAATCTCTGTAAAGTGGACAAAGTCTGTCCTACATGTACCTGTCCTACATGTACCTGTCCTAAATGTACCTGTCCTGCCTGTCCTGCCTGTGCTACCTGTCCGACTTCTACCACATCTTCCCCACCTCCCCAAAGAGAACCTGTGATAGAGATACATGACTAAAATATATGTTCGTAAAAAAACAGACAAGTATCATAACAGTAATGAGCTTCTTTACTACTTCCATCACATTACAGAATAACTATACTACCAGTTTAGATGGTGTTATTGAATATCAGTGAATTGTAATGATAATTGATTTGTAAAAATAAGTAATTAATAATTATAAGTGATTTGTGGTGACAAAATTCTTGTCATTATTAATCATTTGTTATTATTTGTAATTTGTAACTACAGAATTGTCATTTAAAGTTACCAGTGATTTGTAATTATCAGTAATTTGTGGTTATCTAAGATTTGTAGATATTACTGATTTGTAGTTATTATTGATACATATTTTTTAGTGATTGTGGTTATTACTGTTTCGTAATTATTTGTGATTTGTGGTTATCAGTGATTTGTAATTATTAGTGATCTGTGGTTTACTTTTCAGATATTTTTAACTATTAGTGATTTATTGTTATCAGTAATTTGTAATTATTAGTGATTTGTGGATATCAGTGGTTTTGATTTTAACAGACCAGTAATTTCTTTATGTAAATGCTTTAACTCAATTTACAAAGAATTTTACAAACAATTGTTTTTGTAGTGTTCATTAAATATTAAATATATTTACTGCATTTTGCCTTATTTACCTTTTGGTCGTATGAGGCTGGTCCGCGTAACTCATGACCTCCACCAGTTTTAAATCAAAGCTTATATGACATCTTGAATGTTGGCAAAGTACGATATTACTATAAATAAACCATATCAGACACATGAACTGTTCTAAACACATTTATTTTTTGAAAATGGTGCATAACGAAAAAGGTACATGACGCGAAATACCAGTGGATATTTTTAAATCATGAATCATCCATGAATTCAATTTCAAACTTTGCCTTCCTTTAGCCTACATTGACTTCCTCTAGTCACCATTGGCTTCCTTTAGCCACCATTCTCTCCGAAAGTAACCGTTAAATTTTTTAGCAACTCGAGAAATTTACAATAAGAATGAGGTAAAAATTGGTATATAGTGCTTTTAATATGTGGGCGATTTTCTAATAGTTCATACTATCTATCATTAAACATGCCAACAATTTCTCACTATTTGGTCCATCAAAAATGCAATTTGATCGTAGTGACTTTTATTGTCATGTTACCGCGTGTAAATAAAAAGTTTTCCGATGCACCGTCCGAATAAATAACTTTTCAATTTTGTAAGAAATTTACGACCAAAATGTTCACTGTTTGATTTAAGGAAAATGCAGGCTTAAACAAGTGATTTTGATTTCCCGTTAATATTTAGCCTTTTTCAGAGTATTTCTGCAATCAACGGCAGCTTTGAAAATACATTTTTGTCTACATCAGAATAATCTTCTCTTCGATCGGGTTAGTTTGCACGTCTGTAACATTCTGAAAACACACTGGGGATATTAAAAAACGTAACCCTAATTGCGATTTAAAAACAAATCAACATTTTTTTCACGGATATTACTGAATATGCCATTTATAAGCATCTAAAACATACTTCAATGGGGACAGGAGTCAACAATTAACTAAATGTGTCAACGGTTTATGAACAACGAATCTATGCTTGTGGCAATGAAAACGCCTTTATATGCTTAATGTAAATAATTATACCAACCAAAGAGCCAAATATTATTGAATGCAATAATGTTAGTCCAAAGGAAATGCACAATATCATTTGCGGTATGGCTTTTGGTATTTTCCTGTTGAAACAGAATAGTATTAGCATTATTTTGAAGCAACGGGGAAGCGTGCCTCGAAAAAATTTAATGTTGGTGGCATTCAAACTCCAATCAATCACGATAAGGAGAACACGCCCAAAAATAATCAGGTGCAAGGCAAGTATACAACAGTTGCAATGACGGTCACTTCTACGGGATACAAGGACTCAGTCATCACTTTGACGGATGAAAAATCTTATTCTGATGATTATTTGTCATTTTGTTTGTTAGCTTTATTTGAAAACTATGCAAGAGATAAGTTTAAGTTGAACTTCAAATCTTAGTGTGAATTTTATTCGAAGTACGATATGAGAGCTCATAGCAAAGTTCACGGAGCGCTTTATACACTTGTTCACGTGAGGTATACATGTATATGTCAATCAACTTAAAATACGATGCGTAGAAGACAACTTTTTGTATCTCTGATACAGTTTTGATAAACAAAATACCCTCAATAAGAATCTACTTGAGCAAAAGGACTTTTTCGCTTAAAACTTAAAACATATTGAGGATACACTTGGACTCATAAGAGGAACCAGCTTTACAATGATATGTCATCCACTTGTCGTTTAAAGTAGGATATTATGTCAGTGTATTACTTTTGAAGTGTTAAATATAACTTTGTTTCCCATCTTCCTGATCAACAGATAGATATTACAAAAGTACAAGGTTTTGCATGACACTTAAAGGCATTAAGACTAAACGAAATTTCAAAGCTCGAGTGCACGTCTTACAAAATTAGATGTATGATTTTTATCATGTCTGTCGGTATTTCAGTGCATTCTTGACCGATTTCTTAATCAAACTGAATCATATCATTTAACATAGAATAAGAAGTACAAAGTAATTGATACAATACATATTTTTACGCAGGAAGGACAGTGCACTGTGTTCAAATATTCTCGATGCTTGACAGTAAAGCCAAGATAATGTAGAATTTTCTAAATAATAAAAGGGACGATTATGACAACATCAATGTGTTATACCACTTGAACAAAGATATTCATTATATTTAATGCTCTTAACTAGGTATGTGAAGATAACAAAAGGTAACTGTGCATCGGCTCTCCCTGTTTTTCGAATTGTCCATCTATAAGAAATATCAACGACACGAGGGAATGTCTCTGTTGATAATCTAACGAATTTTAATATTTAATTATTATACCTATTTTTTTCACTGATCACTGAGAAATGTCGCAAAGGTAAATTATTAGAAGTCTTTTATAATACCAATCAATTTGAAAATCCATAAATTATACAACAGAATTTTATTGTTGTTAATAAGCCCAATGGCATGATCGTTTTTTCTTTCTATTTGTTCTTGCTGAACGTCCTTATATCAATTAAAAATTTCAAACATATGTTCATTTTTATAAAAGCTTATACAATCTAGAATTCTCGAATCCGAAAATAAAAGTAAATATTGCTTTCCTTTTCATTTGCTCGTTATTATTCCTGCAGCATATTAAAAACAGCACAAATACACGTCAATCACATATTAAAATATGTGAATAAAAATAACGTAATATTATATTTCAGTTTTTATTTAGAGCGAACAAGATATACCAGAACAACCAATTGGCACATCCGATATTTATCAATATGCATGACATGAGTGCAGTGCAATTAAAACATTGCATGTTGTGATCGCCGACAGTAAATTTGATTTTTTTTTCAAAAGAAGTAATATATTACATATAGTTCAGTTGACATATGTTTATCGGTTGTCACACACAGGAAGTTTCAAATAAAACAAATTTGAAGAACATTAATCTGTGAAGTCAATCTTTATTCATAGATAATTGACAACGATTAATGTTTGGAGTATAAAATACATAATTTTAAGCTATTTTTTTGGCAGAGATGATTAAAGTTAAACAATCTATGATGAAATAATAAAATGTCTATCAATATACACCTGCAAATGTATTATTACAAAAAAGGATCAATGCTTAACAAAGAAAAATTCAGAAATGATATTTGCCATCTATTACATTTCATTACTTTTCAACTTTAAACACATTTTTATCACATGAAGATTTTTTTAACGATTTAAAGAAAAATGAACATTTATTGAAAACCTTATTTTCCAATAGAATAAAAAATCACATTTGTTTAGAATTCGTACATGATAGGGTTACAAGATAATGAAACAAAAGTTTTTAAATGTATGTTATTTACAAATTGTTTGACATGATAAAAACCATCTGGTACCATTTAAATAATTATAAGTTTTTGTCAAGAAATAAGGCAGGGTAGCCTAAAAGGTTATATTTAAAAAAACAATTTTCTTTAAAATGAGAAATATACTAAATGACTTTAAAGCAATGTTGAAACATGATTGGACAATCATCTGAGACAATTTTATAAATATATTCTATCAATGAAGACCTACACATTTGTTTATTGGGGCTTAATAGAATAGAATGTCAAACATTAACAATATGCATGTTGCATTTTCTTTGTCATAATCAGTCTCTTATGTCAGTGTGTGTTTTAAAAATGAAGTTATACCTGTATAATTTTCTTTACTGTATTTTATGTGTATATCCTTATATATCCGTTTAAAAATGCTCCCTGAATACACACCAATGTTCTAGATATTGTTGTATAATACATAAAGTCATAATCATGATTTTGCACTATAGCTTGCTTACAGAACTTCGGTGGTTCTACTCAGGTGCTCCTTTGTGCCTGAAATAATTCTCGGAAGGGTTCCTGAGGTCTTCCCCACCAGTCAAAACTAAAACATCGCCTTATGACCTATACATTGTCGGTGTGATGTTAAACTAAATCTAATAAAATACAAACTGCACTCCTAAATCAAAATAAGTAGAGAGAATAATATGATTACGCAATAATATTTATACGTGTAGAAATAAAATCTAGTTGTTTGAATATTGACAATATATCACACAGTGGAACAATTATTTCTTAAAATGTCCGAGTATTTTGTAAAAATGTTGATCACTTTGCAAACTTGATATTTATTTTGTGATTTGTTTTACGAGTATTACGAGTATTTTCCATTTATCTAGATGTTACATGGGAATTAGCACGATCATTTTCTTTCTGCAGATTATATCTGACCTACAAACCATATAAAAATTAGAAATGAAATAAACTGAATAAAATGTAACATTAGGCTAGTATAAATACAGAGTAAAAAAGGTGATGATATTTAATGTGTATTTGTCATTGCTTCCAGGTTCTGTCTTAGGGATGCATTGCTACTTTTCCAACAGCTTAGCGAATACGCCATCCAGAAAAAGTTGAACGAGTCGTATTGTCGCTTAAAATCGTATTCCCTTCGTACTTATGATATCGTATCCAAACTTCGTCACGAGGTTCGACAATTGCCAAGACAAACCCTGTCGATGGATGAATACCATCTGACTGCCCGACAAAGTCAGCATCGGACTTGATATTTCCTTTCACGGCATCATTGACCATTAGTTCTGTGGTAAAATAGGTTTTCCTATCGGCGGCAACAGTCCAGGTAAATGCGTAGTAAACCCAGTAAACCAACTATATATTTACCAGTGCTTGGATTGTATCTATTAAGAACATTTACCGGTGCCATGTCAAATTTAATTATTGTGCTTGCCGTATAATTCTGTGAACTGCTTAGATATGCATGAAACGCTAGGCTGTCTGCAAAATAAAAAATATATAACATTTATAAACCTCGACCCCATCATTATTTAAATTATTTCCTTTTTTTCTTTGGAACAAGACACACTCCCTATAAAGCTTTACAAAATTTCGACGAAAAGAATTTAAAGGTGTTTTTGAGGCAGAATGAAAACAATCAATTGATCCTGTCAAAATTGATGCACTATTTGCTAAGTATAATAAACATAATTTATTTTTTCACATATTTCAAGATCTTATTTTCTTCTTTACATGTTGCCCTGCATACAAAAATATATCAGAAACATTACTCAACCAGGGTAGAGGAATTCAACGGATTAGATGCGTTACTTTTGAATGTTCATTGTGGATTGATTGGCTGCTTTAATCCATTTCGAATCAAATGTCAACGGAAATTTCTTGTATATGGCAATGTTTCATGAAATGTATTTAAATATACTTAGAGGTCTCATAATTGTTCATATTCTGTGTATACACTATCTGTGCATATTATAGACACAATCATATACTACTCAACTTTTGCTAAGCACTATATGTTTGAGTGTGAAATTTTTTGGAATAATTTTATTAACGCCGTGCGAAAGGTTTAACATGTTGATTTACTGTTTTGTCAATTCAGCTGAAGGATGAATTTTACCCTATAAATGAGTTTTACACTGATTTTGTACTAGAGAAGAGGATGACCCCCTCTTTAAAGATTTCAAAACATGCAGCGTAATCTCCAAATTTGTTAAATTGTTGTTTTTTGTTAACAGTTTTCGACTTAACACCGTGTGTGTGACCCTTGACGATCAATGACAGCTTGGCAGCGCCTTCTCATACTCAATTTTAGGTTTCTGATCGTTCTAACGCGTATGGCTGTCCAATTTCGGACCAACATGGCTCCACTCTCTTGGAAAATTCTGTGTTGCAGCTAACGAGCTGAAATTCTTACCTGTAGCTCATTCCACATTTGTTCTATGTAATTTAAGTCAGGTGAGCGAGCGTGCCAGTCGATATCCTCCCTCTCTTGGTAGTCCTGGACCACCCTGGTCCAATGGGGGCGAGCATTATCGTCCATAAGAATGAACTGTTCGCCGACTGCTCCATCATACAACTTAACTTAGTTATCTAAGATGTGGTATATGTATCGCTAACCTGTCTATGTGCATCTATTTAGCACAACCAGGTCCGTTCCGCCATTCCAACTGATGCCTCCCCACACCAAAACTGACCCACCTCCGTAGCGGTCATGCTCAGCAATAATTGCAGCCTGAAACGGTTCACCGTATATTCTCTAGACTCTATCACGCCTATCTATCTTTGAAGTCTATGCAGAACCTAGACTCCTCTGTGAACAGAACGTGTCTCAAGTGATGCATGGTCCACCGAGTAAGTTCCAGTGTCCATTCCACACGGGCCTTGCGATGTCGACGCGTAAAGGGGATACGTATGCAAGGTCTTCTCGACCGCAAATTACCGTCATGCAGGCTTCTACCTAACGTCTGAGTGGAAACACGGATCCCCGTAGCATAAGCAATTAGAGAGAAATAAGAATCCCTAAAGAAAGCCCAGCATGGCAAAATTGAAAATATTGCAGGCTCGGTTTGATTGAGCCTCTTCGTGAACGGTACTATCAAGTGCAAACTACCGTCCACGCCCCCCCCCAAGCACCGGCTTAAGCAGAATTCAACATTTAACATGAACTGGTGAAATTAAAATTTTGAAATTCCGCAGATGTGTCCATATGGCGGTTATCATGGAACCTTCAATGTGACACGTTAGTGCCATTCCATGAAAAGCAGCAATTGGTCCCCAAGTAAAAAAATGCATGTGTCCTAAACGAGAAAACAATTAAAATGAAATGGAATTTTGAAAGGTCATTTTCACGAGACAAAGCTGTCGAAAATCTTGCACGACGTGCCTAAACTACCTAAAACCGATCCTGAGCTGGTGTTGTGACCCTTTGTTGACCTCCAGCATGCCTCCTGGCAGGTGTATCATGTAGTCGGTATCTCTCCCAGGCTCTGGTGATGACGGTTTTGTGTACACCAAGCGACTTACCAACCTGGCGGAAGGCTCCTTGCTGCATCATACCTACAACCCTCTCTGCTTCTCTTAAATGCCGCCTAATGTTAGCATTCGCCATACCGAAGTAGCAGATGTAAGATATGTAAGCCACTGAATGACAATAGGCCGATAATGTCAGCTTATAACAAAAGACATGTGATTATACACACTATCAAAAAAATGAAAATATCAGGCTGCATGCTTTCAATGCTTTACCCAGACGAGTTGTAACGGATTAGTCTACACGGATTCATGTCTGGGGACTATTGTAACGTTTTGGCAATTTTTATAATTAGCTTGTTTTGAATAAATATTTTCGTTTGCTGAAATGATTATAGTGTTACTTGACTATTATGTTAATTGTTTATATTGCGACAATATATTTTAGTTTACGATACTTTAAAATATACTTTTGGTATACGTATTTTCAATGAACGTTTGAAATCATATAATGTAATAAACGTCTCAGTGATTATGATCATTCTAATCACCCAATGAAAATAAAGTCATGCTTGAGAGATCATCTCAGCAGGTATAAATACGGCGGCAGAGCCAAAATTATTCAGTCTGCAGAAGAATTCACCGGGACCAGGTTATACTATGTAACTGAAGCCTCGCTTCATACATAGAGGATAATTTCGTCTACCTAACTGAAGCCTAGCTTCATAGGTAGAACTAAATATCATTGTTTATCCAATTGAAGCCTAGCTTCATGGATAGAGTGTCGATAGATTAAAGTTTGTGGAATTGCATTTGACTCTGGGTACTTATAGACTTCCACATTTCCTGAAAGCCTCGCTATCAGGGAATTGGTAACATATAGGTATTAAAAATCCAGAGATAAACTAATAACAAATAAGTTTGTATAGACAAATTAGTTGGAACTTTGTTGTAAATCCCTGCCAGCAGCTTATCTTTCTATCTAAATAGAAGCCTCGCTTCATAGATAGGGAGGTAGTTGCTGGACTATAGGAAATTATCGGGTTGCAGCGTGATATCTATAGCTTTTGAATTATTTCATAGTGTTATATTGTAAACATATTTACTGTATTGTGACTTTTGATAATTTAATAGTGTATTTTGGAGTATTAATTCAAGCTGATTGTTTATGATATATGATAATTTCATAATCATTTGTATCTAATCAAACGGCAGGTAGCCCAAAGAAAAATTAATAATATATTTGTGTACATCCGCTCGGTACACGTTACAAAAATTGGTGGCAGCGGTGGGATTATATAGATAAAAACACCATTATCTGGCCCCACATATTAAAATAGATATTTGTTAAAAATGGCTGAGAGTAAAGATTTTAGTAATAGCAATGAGCTTATTTTGTTACACGAAAATCTCAGAGATTTGCAGCACCAAAATGAAGCTTTGAAATTGCAAAATGAAATATCAATACTTGAAAGACAGATTGACAGTATGCAGTTATCATTTCAAAATCAATATAACTCAAACTATGAAGACAAACAAACGTCAACACCTAAATTTTTAACAAGACAATATGCAACACCTCTTTCAGAAAGAAGGCGACGGTTATTACCACCGACTCCAGATAAAAAGCCCTTTAAAATAGAACGTGACCCTATAAATTCAAAATTAAAACGAAGTGTTATGATGAAGCCAGCTACGTATGACGGAACTAGCTCATGGATAGATTATAAAGCGCATTTTGAGGCATGTTCAGAAATTAATCAATGGACAAACAAAGAAAAAGGTCTTTATTTATCTGTTTCATTAAGAGGTCAAGCTCAAGGTGTATTTGGCAATCTGACAAGCAAATCACCAAATTATGATGAACTTGTATTAGCTTTAGAAGAAAGGTTTTCACCACCCAATCAAACTGAATTATATAGAGCTCAACTACGAGAAAGAAGACAAAAAGCTACAGAATCTTTATCTGAGATGGGACAGGACATAAGACGTTTGACTAATTTAGCATACCCTTCAGCACCATCAGATGTAAAAGAGACTTTAGCGAAAGAACAATTTATAGATTCTTTAGTTAACTCGGAGATGAGGCTTAGAATTAAACAAGCTCGTCCTACTAGCTTGAATGAAGCAGTAAGACACGCTGTTGAGCTTGAGGCTTTCAACAGAGCAGAACGAAGATCCCATGAAACTCGTGGTTATATAAGAAAACTAAATTCTGACGAATATGATAGTCCGAAAAGTCAAGATGACAAGTTAGATAGCCTGATAAAATTAGTAGAGGAAATGAAGAATATGTTATCAATGTTTCGACGCCAAAATAATTTTAAAACTTTTGATAAAAGAAACATAGATACATCCCAGCGAAATCAAAATAATAGAACGTCTTCAAGAACATTTGCTTATGGGTCAAATACAAAGTCTTTGAAATGTTATGAGTGTGGTCAGGAAGGTCATAATAAATACAATTGTCAAAAATTCATTAGGAAATCGAAACGAAAAATTTATGTGTTGGAGAAAGATTGTGAAAATTTGTCTGATTCGTGTGGTTCAGGGTTATTTGTTGAAGCTACAATAAATGGGATCAAAGCTAATTGTTTAATTGATACTGGTGCAACACTTTCAATGATTTCTTCAAGTTTTATAGATAGATATCAGTTTCCAGTAAATTTAGAACCGTTTGATGCAAACATTGTAAATGCATCTGGAAAACCTTTAGAAATAAAAGGAAAAACACATTTAGATATCATATTGAATGATGAAATTTCGACAAATTCTTTTATAGTTTCTGACATAGAGGAAGATGCAATATTAGGATTAGATTTTATGACAGCAAGAAATATTGTAATAGATGTTCCGAATAATCAGTTAACAGCCAATGGTAAAAAGATGAAAATACATTGTAAAGGTCCGATAGGTTGTAACCGTGTGATTTGTCATTGTTGTGGAATGAAATTTAAAAAGAAAGCCTATATAAGACAGCATTGTAGAAGAATACATAGTTCTGGAATATAAAGAAAAAGTAGTATCTAAGAGTATGTATGCCAAATCTAATTGCTAGAGGCAGCTTAACAAATATTTTGTATGTTCATGCGGGGCGCATGTAAAACGGAGGCGTGGGTAGTGTAACGTTTTGGCAATTTTTATAATTAGCTTGTTTTGAATAAATATTTTCGTTTGCTGAAATGATTATAGTGTTACTTGACTATTATGTTAATTGTTTATATTGCGACAATATATTTTAGTTTACGATACTTTAAAATATACTTTTGGTATACGTATTTTCAATGAACGTTTGAAATCATATAATGTAATAAACGTCTCAGTGATTATGATCATTCTAATCACCCAATGAAAATAAAGTCATGCTTGAGAGATCATCTCAGCAGGTATAAATACGGCGGCAGAGCCAAAATTATTCAGTCTGCAGAAGAATTCACCGGGACCAGGTTATACTATGTAACTGAAGCCTCGCTTCATACATAGAGGATAATTTCGTCTACCTAACTGAAGCCTAGCTTCATAGGTAGAACTAAATATCATTGTTTATCCAATTGAAGCCTAGCTTCATGGATAGAGTGTCGATAGATTAAAGTTTGTGGAATTGCATTTGACTCTGGGTACTTATAGACTTCCACATTTCCTGAAAGCCTCGCTATCAGGGAATTGGTAACATATAGGTATTAAAAATCCAGAGATAAACTAATAACAAATAAGTTTGTATAGACAAATTAGTTGGAACTTTGTTGTAAATCCCTGCCAGCAGCTTATCTTTCTATCTAAATAGAAGCCTCGCTTCATAGATAGGGAAGTAGTTGCTGGACTATAGGAAATTATCGGGTTGCAGCGTGATATCTATAGCTTTTGAATTATTTCATAGTGTTATATTGTAAACATATTTACTGTATTGTGACTTTTGATGATTTAATAGTGTATTTTGGAGTATTAATTCAAGCTGATTGTTTATGGTATATGATAATTTCATAATCATTTGTATCTAATCAAACGGCAGGTAGCCCAAAGAAAAATTAATAATATATTTGTGTACATCCGCTCGGTACACGTTACACTATCTCAAAACATTGCTGAATCAGATTTTTTAAAATTTTGAAATAAATCTGTTTTTTAATATAAATATTTAAAATATGGTGCGAAGCAAAAGTTGAGAAGTATATGATCATACTATTCCTTAAGTTAAATCATCATCCACCCCAAAAAATTGTTAAATCATTGAAATGTTTGTGGTAAATAATGGAAATATTATTGATATTATGTTTTTGTTTTTGATAATGAATAATATAAGATGTTCACATTCAGTTTATTTTACTTTCAGTTTAGACGAATTTTAAGATTTCATTATGTTAAACACTCTTTATTTTACTGTTACCAATTCAACAGAAAATACTTTTAACTTTTCCTAAACCACAGCTATCATTTCAGACAGTTTCTTTGGTGGCACCAAAGTAGTAGAGATGAGACAAATGAAATACAACTGTACATTCTAACAATATCGGAAATTTTCCTATATAGACAAAGAAGGCCGGAAGCGTGCATTATTCTACAAGAATGCACTCGCCGTTCTTATTATCTCCCTGTATATTTTCACATTGAGGGCGCCATTTTGTTAAAAAATCTGATAAATAATAACAATTTTTTGTCGAATTTTGTTGTGAAAACTATCTAGAATGATAGAAAATGGTCTAACTAAGAAAATGAATCCGAACACCAATATCTTTAATTCAGTTGTTAACGCTGTACAGACGTTTAAAGTGTTGTTAACGTGACGTCACAATGTAGCGCCAAACAGCACGTGCAAAACAATTAAATCAAGTACGTTATTTCAATATTGCAGACGAGTTAGGTTTTACATTTATTTCACTTTTAATAATTTGTATTTCGCTTGAAAAAATATAGAGTGAAATAAAATGAACAAAGTTTTATCAACGTTTTCAAAATTCGTTATTCTCAAAATGTTTCTACACACAGTAGATTTAACGACAGTTTTTTTTCAACCCACTGGAACAGCTTTTGCAGAACGTTTTTATTGGAAACTCTTAAAACAAATTTAACCACCAAACATAAAGTCCAACTTTATAATAATAATTATACTTTTTCTTGACGTGTTAGAATGGAAATACATATTAAATTCTTCGTGCATTATTGTATAATAATGTACGTTTTTCGTTCAAATGCGTTGTAATTAATCACTCAGGCCTATCGGCCTTCGTGATTATATTACTACGCATTTGAACTCAAACCGTGCATTATTCTACAACAATGCACTCAGAATTGATATCTATTTCCTAATTATACTGATCTTGGGCTATTATCAAACGCTGCTTCATTTACTATATTTACATATTTCATTGGTAATGACTCTTTTATCATATCGTATATCGGTAGGCAACATTTCATATTGAGTAAATTGATATTTCTATCTAAGCTAGTTCGCTCGACAGGGGACACTTTGCATTTTTAGATGTAAAAAGTATGTCATATTAATTGCAGTTTATAATAAGTTTATTTTAAAAAAATATATTAATAAATTACTCTTGATTGTTGATATGCACTGTAATGTCAATAAGCTATTTGAAAAGAAATGAATAGGAAATATAACAAAAGTCAGTGTTATTTCTACTAGATCTAAGCATTGATCATATATGTGTCACAGTAACAATCACAGTACCAGAATCTTAGTGCTTTCTTCCACCTAGAACATACATCGCTAATAACATTGTTATGGAAATTACTGGACTGTACAAATATTTATTGTAACTTACCGTATCCATCTTCATGAACGGGGATGATCTGTGTTTGTTCTTTATTTCTTGGAAATTCATCCTCGGCTTTTTCATATTTGAACTCTGTAGAACGACCGCTGTTTTCTGTAATAAAGCCTCCTAGGAATGGCTTCATCGTCTTCCTCTTACTCTCTGGAAATGGCGCACCTAGCGTCCCTTGTAGTAAAATTAACATGCAGCAAAGTATCTTCATCATTCTGACTAATCTTTGTTGTCTGTAATTTAAATAAAATACATTAACGAATACGTACAAATAAGTCCTTGAATTTGATTTGAAAGAAACTTGTTTTAGATTTCGCAAACGAACACGCAAGCACACACATACATACAAACAAACACAAATATCAAACTGCAGATAAATATATCGATTCCTTATCAAGTTTCCGCACATTCCAGTCCAAAATCCTACAGCAACTTTCTAAATAAATTAAGAGTTTTGTTAGGGTTGGTCAACCGTTTGACTGACTGCGACGATATTATCAAGTCAATGTAAAGTATCTCTCAAAGCCAATATCCTTAATTTTTAAATGTACCTCTGACGGCACACTTTATAGAGTTTATATTATAATGTTACCCCTTTCTAAAAATATACCGATATGCAATTTAATATGATAGTTTTATTTATGGAAAATCATTAACTAAATATCAAATTAAAGTCAGAAAGAACAGCACTCTGATACACTTAATTCATTGCTTCAAGTAAAGTCATCCTTGTATGCTCTTTGGTAAATTAAAAAAAAATATCTATCATAAGACCTTTTATTGTTACCCATTCTTTGCCGGACAACACTATGTTAAGAACTGTATTGCAGTACGTGTCGCAAACTATATTTGATGCTGAAGTCCATGTATCATATTTCATTGAACCCATGTAGAATGTTAGAAATCGACGAATTATGATTAACATAATCTTATTGATAAAAATATTGATTTAAAAAATCATGATAAGAAAAAAACCTAAGAAAAAAGATGACAAATTATTGCATTTTTTTTGAAATTCACTTTTGAAAAAAGGGATTTTGATAAACGAAAATATTTTGTGATAAAAACGTAATTAAATGTCTAATAAATGCAAAATAATAATAGCAGAATAAAATTGTGAACAGAATTGTGGTTGACATTATATTTAAACATAATTAGCTTGGACATTTTTTACAACGATTAAATAATGCAGCCAAAGAAAGAACTAAATTTGACATTTCAATTAAATAGAATAAATCGAAAGAATCATGAAGTAAACATATAATAGTTTAATTAAGTATAAAGATATTGGTTTATGTTTATTAAATAATAAATGGAAAATTTTAAGTTTAATAAACATTACTCAATGTACTTAAAGATGAAAAGTATTAAATATCAACTGTTTTATAGAAGTTGTATCTTAATTTTATCTAGTTTAATATTAATTACACAACGCAATTAAAAAAAGAATCACAAGTAACAAACCTTGTTTCTATTCCCACAATGAATTAAGAAACCAAACCTAATAAATCGTCAACAAATCGTCTTTAAGGTAGGTCTCAAATAATCATTGGAATCATTGACATATTAATGGCATATTAACATTTTCTTTTTAATAATATTACATTCATACGTTGATAATGCATATCAGTAATGCAAGTTGTACCCATTGGCCATTATAGCTATTTGTGGGCCAATGTTTTGAGGTGGGACTAGGGAGGTTTCGACTGCCAAAATGCTTTGACAAATATTTCTGTGTCGCACTTTTTTAGTTGTAATAATTATTTACATTCAGTATTTATTTAGATAAAATTTAGGTTTTATAAACACAACTTAGTAAGTTTATTTTTTTATTTTTTAATGTAGTATTTTTATTCAGATTTACATGATTTACAACAAAAAATCCAACCATTGAAATAGCATGAATATACAAAAAAATGCATCACATAAAACTGCGGCACCATTGGCATAAACTTTAATAATAACACGTCTTACTGTCTAAACATTTATTTGAAAAGTTCTCTTCTGTCTTTTTTATTGATTCCAGAATAATTGAAACAAAAGTTTCAGCTCGTTAGTTTTCAATGCAATTATAAAACGAATGTTCAGCTAGACAATCAAGAATCAACTAGACATTCAAAATTACCAATATTGAGCTAGACAATCGGCATTCAGCTCAACAGTCGATATTTCTTGGTTTTCAACACAATTTTAAAACAAATATATACACATGTAAATGCCCTTTTAATATTCAAACATGCGATAGAATAGAGAATAAATTTTAACATATTTTTAAAAACACTTTATTTTGTTCTCTAAAAACTGGTTATCTGTTAACACTTAATAAAAACGGATAGTGCTGCTAAAAAGTATTTATTACCTTGCAACATTTTTAATATCGATCTCAGTGCTGGTCATAAGTTTCATAATAACACAATATAAGTTCAGAGCTGGCTTTGCATTCAATGCAAGAAAGATATTTGCCATTTACAAGAATAACGAAAATCGCTCTCAGAGCAAGCTTTGTATTCGACGCTTGAGTGTTATTCGTTCCTTTCAAACAGAACGAACACTGGTCTAGAGTTATCTCTATTTTCTACGATTGCTCGATATTCGCCCATTTTGAAGTAAACGGTCTCAGAGTCAGTTTTGTGTAAGAAGCTGGTGCGATATAAGTACCTTTGAAAGAAATCAAATAGCGAGGTCTGGGTATGCCGATAGGAAGATATTCACTTTCATAAAAGAGTATGAATAACAATCTCTTGCAAATTCTGAGATTGACGCCGGTTCAAAATTCTTTACTTCAGAAGAGAGCGAATACCGATCTCAGAGCCTGCACTGGATTAGCCATTCCGTTAACACGACATTGACCTGTTTAGAAGAGATTGAACTACGAACTCAGTGTCATTTCTGAGTTCGTCACTAGCTCTGGACTCTACGTTAGTGCGATATTCACACCTTCAGAGAAGAGCAAATAACTAACTCAGCCCAAGCCCTAGATTTGCGCTAGTTCAATATTCGCCAGATTTGAAGTGTACGAATAGCAATCGAGAGCCAGCTCTGCTTTCAACGGTAACGTAATAATCTTTCTTTTAAATGGAACGAATAACGACCTTGGTGTGCAACTAAGACGACATTCGTTTCTTTAAAAAAAAACAACAACAAAAAAAACAACAAAAAAATAACCCAATAAAAACAATGAATGGTCATCTCGGTGCCATCACTGAGTTAGTCTCTATCGCGATACTCGAATCTTAAAAATAGAATAAATAAGATATCAGGGTAAGATGTGGCCTTTTTAAAAATCTAAGATCTGGCTCTGAACTTTAGTAGCTCAGATTGAAAATTAATGCAAGCTGAATATTGGTTGCTTTTCATTGAAAAGAAGAAAAATGTTTTCAGAGCCAGGTCGAAGTTCAAAGCTTAACACCTGTACAATTATTTTTTTACATTTAGATGCATAGCTCTTGCATAACATTGAATGGTCCTGAATGAAAAGCAAGCACGGATTTGCTTTATGTCTGTTGCAAAGTTTTACGTAAACGAGTGTTCCATTATTACTTTAGATATAAATACATGTCTGGACATAACGTTGGAGTAGAAAACATCTCATGCACTAACTATTTTTAATTATCTGTCTAAAATGAAATACTTTAATCATGATTTATTGAGCTAGATGTCTCGCTCTTTTTGTTCTCTATTTGCGAATTCCCTGTTGGAATTTAAATGTACTAGGGCCTTAAACATTTGGCATATGATATCTACATATCTCATCTTTTCGCTAGGCTGGTGTACAAGTAACACATTACGCTTTTGTATCTTTAACATCTATGAAACATTGTTGCAACTCCCGGACAGCTAATCTTTGAATTCAATCTTGATATTGTAAATGTATACACTTGATTAAAAAATCAAACCTAGGTATAAACATTAAACCAATCAAATAGAAGTGACAAGTAATTCATTAGTATTGAGATGCCTGTCTACGTATGAATACGTCGCTATTATTCTTCGGGACTATTTTACGGGTAGTTGAATTTCTTGTTATATAATGAAGCATTACATGTCAAACACCTTCATCAGATAATTAGGAAATGATTACCTATAATTTATTGTATATCAAAACATTAAACACGAAACTAATTCATTATTTAAAGAAAATAATTTTCCCGCACAATACACCGCCTTTTTAGATAAAAAAATAATGCAAATAATATGTTACTATTTGTAGATCTATACGTCTTAAAAATTAATGATTATGATTTAAAAAAATTGTTTAAATCAAACAAACTTAATGTCAGTAGTTTAGGATAATTAAATAAAAAAAAACTATCTGAGTTTGATATAAATGTTCTTGCGGAGTATTTCATTACCGGGGTGTTATGAAAAGGACAGAAAAGTTGTGATTATAAAAATGTTTACAAAAAAAAAGAGACAAAATTCAATTTTTAAGGTAAATAAGGAAATAACGCGATTTGCCACGAAACTGTAAAATGACCGTAAAATGTTCGGATAAAATGTACGTTTTCTAACAATATGATTGTTATTTAGTTGTTGGTGATATTATTGCTATTTTTGCTAAGATATAGTAATTTGTGGTGAATATGTCATTACAATGTTTTTTATGAGTTCCTATAACCCATTAACATTGCCTCATTCATAAACGAGTTTGCTTCAAGAAAGGGGCAGCAATTCATAATGCAAGATTATATAGGAAGTAAATGAATGCAATCCCTTTACCGTCATTTTGTTTTAAATTGTTTCCAAATTTTGCTAGGATTGTCGCTAACACGAATTACGCTACATTAGACGTATATGTATGTTTTCAAAACACAAAAAGAATGATCTTCTTCAAGTTAACAAATACGATTTATTTAAGCAATCAGTAAAACGTATTGTGGGATTGCTGATCTCAGCATCCAAAAGTCAAAGGGCAACAACATATGAAATATCTAAGCATAAAGATGTTCTGTGAACGTTTCGTATAAGTAAATAAGTGATCAGTAAAGCCTTGTGAAAATCGGTATATATTGAACAGGATATAGCGTGTGCATTATTCACATTTCTTGACAGATGGTTCAAATATTCCTACTTGAATACTGGCGTTTTTACCTTTAGCTGAATAAGAATGTAAAATGTAATGTAAATAAGTGATGTGAAAATCGGTATGTTGAACAGGATATAGCGAGTGTATTATTCACTTTCTTGATAGATGGTCAATATATTCCTACTTGCATACTGGCGTTTTAACCTTTAGCTGAATAAGAATGTAAAACGAACTTGTGAAATTGAAGGACAAGATTAATTTTATGATTTTTAATTGAAAGCCTCTAATAATAAAATTGTCATTAGCCAGTCTTACACAACATTAACATAAATGTCAAAACAGAACATAGATTTCTAAAGACAAAGTTATACAGCTTGTTAAAATTACAATTTATTTAATATTTGATTTTTGCCATTCTGGTTCTACGCAAATCCATTCCTCGTACGGTACAGGAGAGTTACAATAAACCTAAGCATATTGTGTATGCTCCTTTATAAACATACAATTCATTAAAAAAAATGTTTCAATGAGGGTAATAAGGGATCTCATTTTTCTTAATATTTTGAAAAGTATTTGCTGTCATCTTATTTACAATTTAGGTTGTCCCATTCTTAGATCACAAATCTTCTGTAGGAAGTGTGTTTATAAGACAGGAGTTTTGTTATAACATGGACTTTTTGTGTTTTATTGTAAATAGGAATTATTTCAACGTGTTTATCTTTTTTTTAAAGATTTTTTTGCTTTTTTCTGAAAAAGTTTTCAAAAAAAGAGGCGTTACTCTGCGATAAAAACTTTGGCTTCGAGGTAACTTGGCTTTGAGGTACTCGATCACCCAGCCTACAGTCTCGACCTCGCATCGCGTGATTTCTTTCTGTGCCAGAGACTAAATAAACGTTTTGCAGGGAGAACAATTTGATGACGTGGACGACCTGTCTTAAGCGGTGCAATGTGCAATTTCGGAGATGAATGGCTATTCCTACTTTAACAGTTTCATGTCATGGATT